GTCCTTATGTGTACAGCCATTTGACACTCTTGAGGTACTGACATCAGTTATGAAAGGCACCACACATATTTTTTTCCCCACACCTGCCCAAAGCTTTCTGTCTTTCAGCCTGGCTACCAGGAAGTACAACACTATCTATTAATGGCCATGTTTTCACAGTATGCTCTTCCCTTTTATATCTCAGTGTCAAATATATTTGATTTATTCTTAGAGAAGAAAAATTCTTATTTTTAAAAATAAGTTTCCATGAATGAATTACAACATGTTTTGACCATTTATTTATGCTGACTATTGCAACCAACTCAGTGTAAGAACATCTCTGAGAAAACTGGAGAAGACAACTACTAATTGAGTAGGGGATGGGAAGAGAACAAAGGTTTCTACATTTTTGTACAATTTGCCAGCTGGGTGACAAACCAAGATACTTGGAATTTTACAGGGTCAGTGCACCTAACTTTTGCCAGGGTGGGAGCTATATCCTTCACCATATCTGAACTCTCCTAGGCAGAGTTGACAACTTCCAGCTCCAACCAAACCCAGTCAAGTGGTGTGACAACCTCCATGCAGGACATACCGAAAAAACCCACAGATTTTGACTGTTTGAATTCACAACATATTTGACACAAACGACGCTTGTTTGCTCCAGAACATGACAGGCAAAAATCAGGCCTAGGGCTGCCAAGTTTGACATTGCTAGAAGTCCCAAATAATGCACACTTCTCATACTACATGGTAAAATGTGTTTCAGGTACTAAAACATTGACTATTTCATATGTCTTGATAGTTCTGAAGAAATTATCTAAACACCCAGGAGAAGGTGATGGCATACTATGTTTATACAGATCTGAAATACATTGGACCCGACACTCATCTGCCATGTACAATGAGGTGCAAGCTCGGAGGGACTGCAGAACTGGAGATGCTTTACAACCTCAGCCAGTCTCAGCACCTGTGTGGGTTGTGGAGGACCACTTTCTCTCTCTCTAAGGTTGCACCTAAAATAATTTCAAATCTGGTTTTATCTTTATTGTACAGTGCTTTGGTCAGAATGGGGTCAAGGCTCATTGAGTATTAAGGAGGCCTTATTGACTGGAGTGTAAGGCTGAGAAACACACACACTTAGTGATTATACAGTCTGAAAAACAGCAAGGGGCAAAAGGGGCAGAAATGCTTCCTTGGAGAAAATTTGTTCTGCAATAAAATCACAAACCACATTTCATACATTTTTGTGTCAGTCTTCTTCCTACTATTTATTATCCTAGCAATTTACATGATATCTTGAGGGAAACAAAATTTCTATCCAAAAGTTTCATGTGACAGAGCATTCATAATAAAAAATAATTGCAGAATGATCACATCACTTTCTCTTAGGTAAACCAAACTGCCACATTTGCTGAGCAGAAGCACAAGATTGCAGAACAGGAGTCATACAGGATAACTGCTACGGTTAGTGAGGAGGTGAAACACTGTAGGAAATTCCCCTCGTCTTTGGCAACTGTGTAACACCTAAGGAGTTATGTTACGGGGAGGGTCGCAGAGGATGTGGCGGGTCCTTCTCATAACGCCTTCCGAAAAGTGTTGCTGTTATGAGTGGTTTTGATGTACTGTGCTTACTTCTCAAACGCCCGTCACGTAGCACCTAGTTGAAAAGAGAAAGAATGACACTAATAGTGCACTAACAGAGTAGCAATATTGCATGGTACAGAGAGAATAGACCTGAGATCTTGAATATTTTGATGCAACACTTTTAAAAACAATCATGACAGTGAAAGAAACTAGAATTCTCTTTGGCTCTGCCAGAGCCTTCCCACTATAGCCTTCCCACATTTCCTTGGACATGAAGATCTTTAAAACTCCCTTCATCTCCATCTTTGGGGGGAAAATAAAAAAGATCATTTTCTCCACCTCATAAGAAGGTGAGAGTGAGAAAAACTGATTTGTCAGGTTTCATTAGTTACTTATACAAAGCAATGACGGTTATAAACACATCTAGGACATATTTGAAAGATTTTTTGATTTGCAGACCTCAAAACAATTTTCAGATGGAGGTAGATAATTTCAAGCTACTGGCCATATGTAGCTTTTCTTAGTTATCTTTTACATATCAATTTGAAATCACTGTTGTTCATAGACCATGAAGACCTGAAACTTTTTAAGGGCCTTGTGACAAAAAACCAAACACATATTTGTTAAGAAAATAAAACATATTGTTTTTAATTACATTGTGATCATATTTTATCATACAATAGAATCATCGAATCAATCGGGTTGGAAAAGACCTCAAAGATCATCGAGTCCAACCCTACATCCTTTGATGTACATATTTTTACAGAAGTCCCATTCGAAACAAATATGCAGGATGAAAAATGCTTTTCAATTCTCTACCTTGTAAAAAAATCATCCTTATTTACCCTAAAACTTTTCAGGTCTTTTTTACTGTTCTCATTGTGTCTTGTAAACTATTAAATAGGATCTCTGCTCTTGCTCCTAAGTAGTTTTTCTTGCTTGGACAATTTCTCAGAGTATTTGATTTCTTTTTCTCCAAAAACGCCCATCAGCAGAAGCCTGTAGAAAATAGCTCTTTGAAAGCTGTTGCTTATAGTTTGGGACCTGAAGCAGGAAGGCATATTTGCTAAAGTAAACACTGAATACATTCCCAACCTCATCATTCATATGTTCTCATCAGGAAGGATTAATTCAATCCATCAGTTTAAATCTGTCCACCTGAGTTACGGTCTGCAGAACCAAAGAAAGTGGTTCTTGGGTGGGAATCTGCTTCCATATAAGCAGATAAGCTTTCATATAAGCTATTCCACAGCCTGGAAAACTTTGCATTAAACAGCTCACAAGGGTGGCCCATTACCTCAAACTCCCCAGGAGCCAGCTGCACTCCACTGTACAACACTTCTGGAAAGACATAGCTGGTGCTGAATGTGCCGCTGAGGGAGAACATATCAAACTTGGTCTGAGCTGTCTCCACGGGCTGCCCACACGTGTCCAGGTCTGTGCTCTTGCATTTGAGCAGTGTGCATATCTGAGGGAGGAGGATACAGAAAGTCAGAACACCACTAAGCTTTCAACAATCAAGAGCTGGATTTGACAGCAAGAATAGTTCTCAGGGTGCAGTAATGGACAAGTGTTTTGGGGTGGCTGGGATGTAGCCCCACACTCACCCTTGAAAAAACAGTTACCTGCCAATGGTACTTTATGGTAGAACCGTGAAGCCCATCAAAAGCACCTAGGACATAAACTTCATCTTTGCTCTTGTTTGACATCTGATAGTCCAGATGACAGCAGAGGTCACCTTGACAAACTGTGTAATTTCCAGCTTTGCGCTTGAGTTCACTGAAAGTGAATATATCTTTCCGGACAGCTCCTGAGAAAGTGTCATTTTGTCCTGGAAATTTATTGATGCTTGTGGCATGCAAACTCCAGTTGATGGCAGGAGGGTAGGTGAGGGAAAGACGGGGGCGTGCGATCAACTCCGCTAGCAGGAGACGTCCCTCCTTGGTCCGACTGTCATAGTGGTAGATGGCAGGTCCTTCTGGTGTGAACAGCCCACTGCCTGCCAAGGACACCCACAGCCCTCTGTTATCCACCATCCCAGAACATGGCTTGGCAGGGGGACTAGTCGCCCCCCATGCCACACTGGTATCATTTGTCAGTGATGTTATTTTCAGTCAATACATTACAGAGAATTTTGGAAGAATTTTAAAGCATAGAACTGCTAAAATACTCATCATAGCACTAAAACTTAGGTTAATTTAAATATAAATCGGAGCTCTGAGAGTGGCGTATTTGACAACAAAGGAAACAATGGAGGTTATGGCCTAAACTCAGTTCAGTCTGTTTAGGGCAGGCACAAATATTCCTCTGTGGTTTTCACTTCAGCTTCAGGGGAGAGATACAGAGGCAGCTACAACAACAGTTTCTCAGTTTACAGAAGAAAAAGATAGTAAATACCTTTTCAGAGCAAATCAAAACATATGTATCTCTAATTCTTCAGCAGGCACAAAAACCTGAAAATGTTTTATTTATTATATAAGAGGAATCCTTCTTTTAGTATTATGTTATTAAATTATGATTAAAATATTTTTTCTCCATTTAACAGTTGATTGAATTGTAAACAAAAAAATGCTGTTTCTAAAGGAGAGACTGAAAATTTAAGTGAAACTTTGCACTGTTTTTGAAATAAAATTTCACTTTCAAGTTATCAAAATTTAATGTCATGGGCTTTCTAATTTTACCTTTTCCAGAACACTCAACATTTTCTTGCCTGAAATTGTTTACTGCATTCAGTACCACATCACAAAAATCTTTAGCCTTATTGAAACGTTACTTTCCAGAGACTTCACTATGTCCAAACCCTCTCTGCCTGCTTCTCAATCTGAGGACAATTTCCCTTCCTAAATGCAACTCACCTGTCATTGCCATGATGATGTTGTGAGTATTTGCTGAAAGTAAATTGACACCCATGCCCATAGCCCAGGCA